CGGGTGTTGCAGTAGTAGCTTAAAATGGGTTTAGTGATTTATTGGCAACTTAACAGCAATTCATTGGTCGACGTCGGGAAATCAAACATAAGCTCTTAATCAGTGTTTAATTGATAAGAATACTGCGATGAGTGTTGGCTGTATATTAGCAATGTTCATCGATTTTTTAAAAGTTTTTTAATGCTTTATCGTTGAACTCTATGCATTATTGTTTACCATTTCTGCTTTTCATATGCTCTCACCTCTTATATTTTTTACATTTTCATTGTTAAATCAGTCGGAAAATGTTGGCTTTCAAATTTTTTTCTAGGCTTGTTCTTTCAACGACAATAACAAAAACAACGATTTCTTTTTACAATAATTAGTGGTTTACTGTAACTATAAGATACTAAACCGTTTGAGTTTATTGTTTGACTAATACTGTCATCTGTTGTTTATTTCTTCAGTGATGTTTATTTCGGGTAACGGCTTCTATTAAAAGTCATACTGATTACTGATTAAAATGTTCTCTTATTGGTTTGGTTAGGCAGAACTTCCAATATTTTTGCTACTACAAACTTTTCTAGTTGTGCGTTTTTGGTTTTTCATTGACGCAATAAAAATAAATTAATTTCAATAGAAAGAAGAGCGGAAGCTTTAATATCTAGCCAAATTATATTAGTATTTTACAAGTTAAAAGTTTCCAGATTTCAATGACTTTAAAATGCATATATAAGCTTCTTAAGGAAAAAAAATCAATCGTAATGGATTGCTTGATTAAAGAAATACATATGTTAATTTATATAAGGCTTTAAATAAACAGCTATTTTTCTTCTATTTATTTTCTTTGAGCTTAAATTCAAAAAAATTGTTCTCAATATATTCATTTCTAGTGTGGTAATGTTTAAGACAGTAAAATCTTTGTTATTTCAAACGCTTATTTTTCATTCAAAAGTTTATAGAATGCTGTAGTTTGGCCACAGTTAACTCTGTTGTTATAATCGCAGCAAAGTTCAGAAAATACACTTACAAAGTCGAGTTGAAAGTACAGTTTTTATTTTGACATTTGAACAGGCAAATTTTTTTTGCTCAGCCTTTACTTGTTGTCATGTGTATTAAGAACGAGTGTGTTAACAAGTTATGTTAGATGAGTTTATCTTTGGATAACAGTTGAAGAAGGTTAGTCAATTTGCTGACGCATTTATTAAATGTGTCTTAGACTCGGTTAATTCCATTGTCCATTGGTGGGCTTCACAGCTCAAGTTTGAACTTCGTGTTCGTATTTCAATTAGTACAAATGTGTTTTGTGTCATCCCTACTGCGCATGATTTGGCTTTTGAATCGTTACCTATTTGCTTATGCAGTGTTATATGACATAGCAGTGTATTTGAGTTAATCACGTAAACTTTATAATTTTATAACAATTTTAGCTAAACATCTAAATTTTTGCTAATTTGCACATTATTCTCTAAACATCTGCCTATTGTTTTATCACCTGAATATTTACATCAATACTTCAAAAATTCTATTGTTTGCAACAAATTTGTGTTGCTTTCTGAATCAATGATAATGGTGCAGGAGGATCAAATAGGAGAACTTAAGGTTTCTTCTTAATTACACTAGTTATTTTTTATTTTATGCTTTTACGCAATGATTTGAGCTTTTTTGCTCGTAACTTTAAAGCTATTAACGTAGGTTCATTTGAATAGTGTTTAGAACTGCTTTTTTAAAAAGCTTTCTGCTGGTCTACTATAAGCTTTAGAAGCGAATAAAACCGCAACGTGATTCAACCGCTGATAGTACTTGTAGCGACGGTTACAGAGGGCGAAAAAAAAGGCTAACTATGCCCATGACATATCGACTGTATGAAAGTCAGGTAAGCAGACTTGTTTATTTACTTCAAAAAATGTTCATTACACTTCATCTGTTTTTAGCAAGAAAATTTGCGTGGGACAATTTTTGGACCAGATAGTCCAGATTTCCATCCAGAAGTTGCAAGTTCAATGCTACGGAAAGCTCTGCAAGCAGGACTTCGTTAGTTATTTCTTCATTATAATAGTCATTCAGAAGAAATTACAAAAAAAAATTTCATGCAAAACTGCTCTCCTAGCTGTAAAATAATAATGAAAATTGAAGTGGAAAAACAGACTGAAGACATTTTTTAACGATTAATCTGTTGAAAACTGTCGACTTGTTTAATGGTAATGGCGAAGCTAAGTTGGTCAACAAATGAGACTTTTAATGTTTCTCGATTGTGATATCCAGAATATAGATTTTGAACAAGGTCTGTGTGAGCGCAGTTAAGGCTGCAAGTTCGATGAAAGTAACGTGTGAAGACAATCGCAAAAATATGACTGTTTAGATTAAGAATATTTCTAATATAGATGTAAGTACCTGTCACACTTTAACCAAAGTACGCGATATAACTCTTTTGATGCCCAAATAAAGTTAATGACAGAATCAAGTATTAATTAGCAGTAGTAACAGGAATACTCGGCCAGCTAAAAGCGAAGCCAGTTGAAGAATCAAAGAACGGAGTCAAGAGTGAGATTGAGATTAGAGTGTTTACAATTTCACGTTCCCAATGTACAATTTTCCATTGTTTATTTTAAAATACTTATTACTTGTACTACTCGTCTTCCCAATTTTTACGAAGATAGTTCATATAATCTTGTAACTTGAGATTTGAGATATGGCTCTGATTAAACTTTCACAATATGGCGATCAGAGATCGTTGGATTTTTTGACCATTCTTTGTAACTGATCTCCATGTTACAGTTTGGAGTTGCTTAATTTATATTTTTACTGCTGCTTTTGCTTTGGTCGTTAGTTACTCTTTGATCTTTTCGTTTTCTTTTAGAGATAAAAACTGCTTTAGAAGATTTTTTTTATTTGCACTAAAATATGATATACAATGAGTTAGTTGCTCGATAATGATTAGTTTAAGCGATAAGCTCAGATGATAGATTATGCTAAAAATGCAAAAAAGTGATGGTTTTTCAACTAGAACTGCTGTTCCTTCGTGTCTTCTTTTATATATTTTGACTAAGTCTCAAAAAGCAAATGATCTAAATTATTAAAAGCATTATTAAAAAGTAATCATGCAAAACGATCTTCTACTATCGCTTTTATTTTTAGAAATTTATGATAATTCGTCTGTATACATTTTGTTTTCGTCTTATTTAATATTTTATTTTATTGTTAGTGTTATTAGACATATAAAAAATGACAAGAAAAAGAAATAATTTTAATAGATGTTTGTAATCTAAGAATTTAATTTCTCCGGAAAAAACAAAACGTTCAAAAAATGTGAAGAAAAACTGAAAGATTACAGCGTATTTAATCATCTATTAACATATCTGAAAATGTCTCATAAAGATATAACAAAAAAAATTATAATATAAAAAAAAATGAAGAAGTTTTAATAAGCTGTACAAAATCAAAATTGAGAGCTAATGAGATGGAAGGAAGACAGGCAGTCTATGGCAGCCTTTAATTACATGCAGTCGATACAATCGTTGAAAGTCAGAAGACTTAAAGGAGGCTATAATTTTATCAATTGAAGTACTGTCAGAGTTCCAGAAAAAACGGAAGGCAAAAAAAGAATAGTATTAATAAAAGTTGATAAAAATTAAAGATGAAAAAAAGAGGAAGAAATGAAAAGTATTCAAAGATTGAATTAACCTAATGATCTACAAAATTTTTTATGCTTTTTTGCCTAATACCATTTAGCGGCAGCTGCAGCAGTACTGGAATTCTCAATTCAGTAGCCGCAACAATTTTACACAGCATTTTTTTTCTTTATTCTATTTCTTTAATGAAGTCTATTTGTAATCAACAAACAGAAAAAAAAAAAAGAAAAAAAAGAGTTATTCTGATATTTTGCTAATTTTATTCAATTTTTTATCTAGCTTTTTAACAAATTTTATTCACTGTGACTAATAGATTTGGTCTAATCAGAAAACCTTTCTGTTTGCTGTGCAGCATACTGTTGTCATATCAGTTAAGCAGATCAAAAATACTTTACCTTTGAATATACAAGAAATTACATTATTTACCAGACTTAGAGTCTTTGCTTTATTGTTTATCTTAAAAGCTGTCTTTACTTTCTCAACCACTAATAAGTTTGCTTCTTCTAGGACTTTTTTTTTTAACGCCGCTGCTTAGGAAGTCTTATTACCTACCGTAATGGCATGTTTGGGGACCAATTTATTTATTTATTTATTTTTTTTTGTAAATATAGTAATTATTACAAATTAAAAATAATAATAATAATAATAATAA